GGGGGGCGATGGGCTGGGGGGGGCCGGGGGCTCCGGCCGCAGGAGGGGCTGGGCTGGGGCTCCCCTTGCCCCGCTTTGGCTTTAGGGGAGAAAAATAAGAAGACAACTTGATGGGTGGCTCGCTGCAGCACGTTGGTTTGTGTTATTGGGGCTCAAATATCTGACTTAATTTGGAGATAAGCCTCGTTTTGTTGGCGGATAAATCTGTTGAGAAGGGGTTTAACTGTTGAAATGCTCCCTCTTTCTGGTGCAAATGGGAAGATTGCTTTTCAAAGTGCTTTTTTCCTGGGAGCTGTCGCTCTGCTCCGGCAGAATCCTGTATTTATTTCAGGCAGAATGGCACATTGTTTTATAAATATCTTTTCTGTAGTTTCAACATAGCTGCTGGTTGTTGTGTTTCTTATATAATGCCACCCGAGATCTGTCTGACTACCTTACGTTTGCTTTACTGTTCACTCCTCTCCCATCACTGTTCAGATTTTCCTGCATAAAGTAAAAACCCCGGGGGAGTAAATCAGTGGTGCTTATTTCAACAGACCACAACTTGAAGAAAATGCTTGCATTTTTGGAATGTCCTTTGCCAGCCACCAACAGCATTTCCAACGTAGTTTGAAAGCGTCGATAAGTAAATTTTATAAGCGATTGCTTTTCCGCGTCGGCTCTCGGAGCTTAGCTTTGAGCCTGTGATGTCGGGTGAGGTGGGTTCCTCTGCTTCTGCCTGCTTCAGTGAACTGTCTAAAAACGCTATGCCTCTCTCCCTTCCTTCTCCGTTTTTCAGATGTGCCCTACTTTGGATATTCCTGCATTGAATGTCTGAGGAGCTCCAGCCGATCCTGAGCCATGTCGCAGATGTTGCACATAGAGATTCCCAACTTTGGGAACACCGTTCTGGGCTGCCTGAACGAGCAGCGGCTGCTGGGGCTGTACTGCGATGTCTCCATCGTGGTGAAGGGCCAAGCCTTCAAGGCACACCGGGCTGTCCTGGCCGCCCCTGGCTCCCGTGGCCGCCAGCAGCCTCTACTTCCGAGACTTGTTCAGTGGGAACAGCAAAAACGCTTTTGAGCTGCCAGGTACCGTCCCCCCCGCTTGCTTCCAGCAGATCCTCTCCTTCTGCTACACCGGGAAGCTGACCATGGCGGCGAGCGAGCAGCTGGTGGTGATGTACACGGCGGGCTTCCTGCAGATCCAGCACATTGTGGAGAAAGGGACGGACTTGATGTTCAAGGTCAGCTCTCCCCACTGTGACTCTCAGACCACCATGATTGAAGACCCCAGCTCGGAGCCGCAGAGCCCCTGCAACCAGCTGCAGTCGGCCTCGGCGCCCTACGTCATGTCCCCCTCCATGCCCATCCCGCTCCTCACGC